TGAGGAGGCTGAGACAGGAGGATCACCGTATGAGCTGCCTAGTGAGACCCTGTACCAAGTAAAGAGATATTTTTTAAATGTATTTTCTCTCCAAAGTAGGAAGCACTAGATATTCCTATAATCAACTTGATTCTGAGCATTTGTCCAACTTTTTTTTTAAAATTTATTTATTTATGTGTGTGTGTGTGTGTGTGTGTGTGTGGCCAGCTCAGCCCACCAGGGGGCGGGGCAGGCTGGCATGTGGTGCTGGGGGATTGAACCGCGGTCCCTGTGCTTTGCTAAGCTTGTTCTAAGTAGGTGCTTTAGACCACTGAGCCATCTCACCAGCCCCCATTTGTCCAACTTCTTCCAAGCTTTTTTTTTTGCTAAACTTTCTTTTTACTGTTCCAAAGGTCAAACCCGGGTCTTTGCACATACTAAGCAAGCACTGTAAACTACGTTCCCAGCCACAAACATCAACTTTTCCACAGCACTGGGGATCAAATCCAGGGCCCTTGTGCCAAGTGCAGTACAACCCAACCCTTATTTTTGAGGCAGGATCTTGCTGAATCACTAAGTTGCCCAGTCTGGGCTTAATCCTCCTGCCTCAGCCTACCAAGTGCAGGGATGACAGACTTATGCTACCATGCCCAGCACTTTCTCTGTCATTTCTGTCAAATAAAAGCACTGTGGGGTGCTCTCGTTCACCTTATTCACTGGAGTTAGCATGGGGCGACTTCTGGTTCTTTCCCAAGGTTAAGATGATCGTGAAAGGCAAAGGTTTTGAGTCCACTCAGGACACTGAGGCAGCCACGACAGCACACGTGTGCCTTCACTTCCACTGTAGGGTAATTATCTTGTATCCAGAACGTTCACGGCAGGGGCTTACTCTGTAGCCCAGACTGGCCGTGGTGGCTGGGGATGTAGCTCAGCAGCACAGTGCCTGCCCGGCAAGCATGAGCTCATGAGTTCTTTTTTATTTATTTATTTATTTATTTGTGTGTGTGTGTGTGTGTGTGTGGCCAGCTCAGCCCACCAGGGGGTGGGGCTGGCTGGCATGCGGTGCTGGGGGATTGAACCGGGGTCCCTGTGCTTTGCTAAGCTTGTTTGTTCTAAGTAGGTGCTTTAGACCACTGAACCATCTCACCAGCCCCTCATGAGTTCTTTTTGATAGGTTCTGGCCTTAGTACTAATTGCTGAACTATTATGGTGGTCAGCTAACATGGCTGAAGCCCTTAAAACAATGGCTCATCTTCCCAGAGACCACCCCTCCCTTCTTCTCCAACCCAGCCCAGGGTGCAGTTTCCTTTCACCTTTTCTGCCACCACAGGAAAGACCTCAATCGACACTTCTAAACACCCCCCTCCAAACCCACCCCTAGCAAAAGGCCAGAAAAGCCCCAGCTTTCTTTGTCTTAGGCCAGAGGATCCATCTGCCCCATCTGCCCTTGCTCCTCCCTGTGACTTTGGAGTCAATAAAGGCTTCTTTTATCTTTCCTATCTCTTTACTGTTGCCTGGAAAAACCTAACAAGATTCCTAATTTGAAAAACAAACAAAATCAGACTGGCCTTGAACTCACTGTTTTTGCTTCAGCTATCTTTGAACTCACCTTTCTGCCTCAGCCTTCAGAGTGCTTGGATTTCAGGTGTGCGTGGCCACACCCAGCTTGGGGTGCCCATTTCTTCCCTTTAGCAAACATAGGCAGCAGTTACTGCATGCCAGGCTCTGCCCTGGGCCATGCCCAAAACTGCCCATGTAAACATCATCAACCATGCAGAGGCCAGTTTCAGGCCAGTTTTACGTATCTGGGCCTACAGGCAGAGAGGATAAGTCCCTGGCCCCAAGTCACACAGCTGGACAGTGGCAGAGGTAGATTTGAACCCCAGCTACGTGGACACAGATACTATGCCTTGTGTCCCAGCTTTGTGGAGGAACAGTGAGAAGTCCCAAATGGAGAACAATTCGAGTTCCCCACCATTTGGAGGTTGAGACTGAGGCTCACTTTGAGGGGCTGGGGTGCAGCGCAGTGAGTCCACACAGCTCCTTTAGCCAGGCGCTTGGGCACACCTGCAACTCCAGCACAGAGGCTGAGGTGGGAGAGTCCCAAGGCAAGGCAGCCCGCAGGCACGGTGAGGCCCTCGCTCAAGAAAGCCAGACCCAAGCAGATCTAAACACACCCAGCACAGCAAAACTCCCAGAGCACGACCTTGAGTTCCAGCCCCAGCACAACAAAGGCGAAAAAATTTCGGGCCAAGTTTAACTCCCACATGGCAGGCTACAGGTGCAGGGTGCAACATGTATTGGAAATCTGCTCAGGAAGCAGGTGGAGGCTGGTGCAGGAGGAAGAGACTGGAGGGAAGCCGAGGACTGAAGACGCTCAGCCCCTGCGTCTTCAGGAAACTAGGCTTCTGTGAGGAGTTAGAAAGCTACCGGCTCAACTGGGCATGGTGGCACACGCCAGTAATCCCAGCACTCAGGAGGTGGGCAGGAGGATCCCCGTGTGCTCAAAGCCAGTCTGGACTATAGATTGAGACCCTGTCTCAAAAGCAACAAAAAGCCACCTGTGGACAGGGCTCTAGAAGGGGGCTGGTGAGGCCGGCAGCTCCTCTTCTAAGCATCCAGCTCTGAAGCCCCGATTCCTCGTGGCTCAGTGCTCCTGTGAGTTACGCGATAGTTAGTGAGAGTTATAACCCGGTGTGGTGGTACACACCTAGAATCCCAGGTAATCAGGATGGCAAGGCAGGAAGACCAAGTTCGAAGCCATTCCTGGGGCACTCATCAAAGCACTGTCTCAAAATAAAAAATTTAAAAGGGACTGGGCATATGGCTCGGCGATAGAGCATTCACCCAGCATGAGCAAGGTTTGTGTTTAATCCCTAGAACTGCAAAGGACAGCACATAGATGGACAGTTGCACAAGATTTCCCGGGGGCATTCACTTACCCTGGGGCCCAGCAACAGGTGGAGAAGAGCTTAGTCCTGAGGGACTAGGGAAAGAGCAAGGGTGTGTGCGGGTGTGCGGGCATGGGTATTGATAGTGAAATGGGGGGCCGGGGAGATGGCTCAGGGGCTGGGGAGATGGCTCAGTGGAATAAGTGCTTCCCTGGCAAGCTCAAGGGCCTGAGTTCAATCCCCGGTTCCGGGGGGAAAAAAAAAAAAAGATTGTGAAATGGTCAGAGAAGCAGCAAGGGGTGGGTGGTGAAATGTAGGGTGTTACCAGGGTCGCTGAAAGGAGGGGACAAGGGCCTTGGGAAGCCTTGGGGAGCAGAGGACAAAGAATTGGAGAGGCAAAAATGGCTCATCTACAAGAGACCACACCTTCGGGAAAAGGAAGAGGGGCCCCCAAGCCAGGAGACGGGGACAGTGACTGATGAGTGACCACAAGGGTCATCCTCCCCCATAACCCTTCCACCGGCCCAAGCTGCAGGGAGACCTGAGCTACATCTTCTCACACACACACATACTCACACACACACACACACACACACACACACACGCACGCCCCCCCCCTCCCCCCAGTCTCAGGGCCGGTAAAGCAAGTTTCTCCAGAACTGGGCGTGCAGGGAGACGCTGGGCACTTGCGGAGGGCACGGGCGGCAAGAGGACACCTGGGGGTCAAGCCGCTGCTCCCCTCCACCGGAGGTGACCACTGTGCACGTCATAGGTCTCCCTCTGCTCGGGTCGGGGTCGGGCGCTTCCTCGGGACGCCCCGCCTCCAGAGCTTCACTGAATGCTAACTAGGCAGGAAAGACGTTTTTTAGCGCTTGGGGGTCATCAGGTGAGCACGGTTTGTTCACCGAGGCCCCGACTGCCCGGGGTGAAAATACGGCTTCGGGGCAAACCGAAGGCAGGGGAAGCCCGGCGTTGCACGTGGGCGTGCAGCGCCCGCCAGTCACACGCGCGCTCCAGCCCACTGGCGGGGTGGGGTGGCCATGTGCGCCGGGCGCAGCCGCGGGAAACCCGGGCGTGGGTGCACGCGCGAAGGGCTGCGACCCCAAGCACCGCGGCCCGCCTCTTACGACCCTCGGGGCGTGCGTCCCGCTCGCGAACCCGCCGCCCACGGACCCCGCCCTGGGCCGGGAGCGGCCGCTGGCAGGCCCGGGTGTTCCCGCCCCGCCGTGGGGAACCAGAGCGCACGCCCTGAGAAGGAGAACTGAGGCTTCCCAGGCGCCGCGGTAGCCGAGCACAGAACCAGCGCGCTCAGGGACACCCGGCGCGTGCGCGGGACTGCGCGGGACGGCGCGAGCCGTGCGGGCTGCGCAGGCGCACAGGGCGCGGCGCGGAGGCTGGGGGAGGGGCGC